GACCCCGCCTGCCCCTTCCCCCTCCCTCCTCTCCCCCTCCCCCCTCCCCCACGCAGGGCCCGTACGACTATTCCCGCTCCGGCAACCCCACTCGCATTGCCTTCGAGCAGGCTGTCGCCTCGCTCGAGGGCGCCAAGCACGGCCTGGCCTTCTCCTCCGGCTCTGCGGCCATCGCCACCATCGTCAACATGTTCTCCCCCGGTGACCACCTCATCTCCGTGAACGACGTGTACGGCGGCACCAACCGCTACTTCACTCGCGTTGCCAAGCCCCACGGCATCGAGACCACCTTCGTCGACATCACCGAGGCCTCGGCTCTGCCCGCCTCGGTCCGCCCCAACACCAAGGTCGTCTGGATTGAGACTCCCACCAACCCGACCCTGCGTGTGATCGACATCGCCGCCGTGGCGGCCCTCGTCCGCGAGCATGCCCCCCAGGCCATCCTCGTCATCGACAACACCTTCCTGTCGCCCTACTTCCAGAACCCGCTGAAGCTCGGTGCCGACATCGTCCTGCACTCGGTCACCAAGTACCTGAACGGCCATTCGGACGCCGTCATGGGCGCCCTGGCCATGAACGACGATGCCCTCTTCCAGAAGCTCAAGTTCCTGCAGAACGCCATCGGTGCCGTCCCCTCGGCCTTCGATTGCTTCCTGGCCAACCGCGGCCTGAAGACCCTGCACGTGCGCATGGAGCAGCACCAGAAGAACGCCATCGCCGTGGCCAACTTCCTGGCCGCCTCGCCCCTGGTCGATGAGGTCATCTACCCGGGTCTCGCCTCGCACCCGCAGCACGAGATCGCCGCTCGCCAGCAGTCCGGCTTCGGTGGCATGGTCAGCTTCCGCATCAAGGGCGACCTGGCCACCGCCACTCGCTTCTTCCAGCACACTCGCATCTTCGCCCTGGCCGAGTCTCTTGGTGGTGTCGAGTCCCTCGCCGAGCTGCCCTCCGTCATGACCCACGCTGCCCTGACCCCGGAGGAGCGCGCCACCCTCGGCATCACCGACACCCTCATCCGCCTGTCTTGCGGCATTGAGGATGCCGTGGACCTGGTTGAGGACCTGCGCCACGCTCTCGAGGCTGCCCAGCAGGCTTAAGGGCATGGGCTTTCCCTTTCCTCCCCCCTCCCCCTCCTCCTCCATTACACCCTTTCCCTTTCCCTGTGTATCCTCCTTTTGTTTGGTTGGGCCGTTTTCGCGTATCCTTCTGAAGGGCCAGAGAGGCAGAGAGAGGGTGAGAGGGAGGGAGAGAGGGCCCGGCAGCGTAAATATGCGAGTGGTAAAGGAATACACACGCCTATGTGCATGGATGCTTGCATTACATCGAGAAGGGGGGGGGGGGCATGTCGCAAGATACACTCTGCCAGGATGCCACGCGGACTCCTTTGATGCTTGGTGTTTGTGTCTCCAAGCGCAGGGAGCGAAAGGGCTGCCGCCGGTCCCTTACTCCTCGCTCGTTCGGCCTTTCTCCGCTCGTCGGACACATTCTTCCCAGGGGCCCCCTTTCTCGTGGCCTGCCTGCAGAGGCGCACGCACACAAACACGCTCGCAGGCAAGGCACGCAGGTCGGCGATTCCGCCTGATCGTGGTGGGCTTTGTGTTTGTTGTTTTTTAGGGGGGGCATCTGAGAAGGGCGGCTCAGGCGGGTGGGAGCGGCCGGGGCCGGGGCCTACTGCCAACCGTCCGTCCGCACCGGCTCCCGGTCAACCGGCCCGCCAAAGGACCAGGGGCCATCCGCAAGGTGGCAGGGGCGGGGGGGGGGGGGGGGGGGGGGGGGGGGGAGGGGGGGGGGGGGGGCGGGGGCGGGCCGGCTGCGGGGCCACACACACCCTGGAGGGGGAGATACCAT